CGCGCGTCCAACGTTGTCGGCAGGCGATGCCCATCGCTGTCAATAGGCGTCCAGTAACAATGCGCTTTCAACGCACGTCGCTGTACTCTACAAAGCTCCTAAAATACAAGGCCTTTCTTGAACTAGTTCGACTTCTAGCTCTTATACCGCCTCGCCGAAGTCGTTTTTCGGTCCGACAGTGCCCTTCGTGCCACAAGTCGCAGACGTAAATTGCAGAGATAGATTTTATGCCCAAAAGTGGCCATGTTACGACGGCTTTACTACAACTGTATCATTCACAATGGAGCATTGGGACACCAAAGAATAGTACGCTTACATGGGAGGCACCCAGACGGTTACAGACACATAATCTCGTACACTCCCTTCCTTACTATTGTATTTTTTTGAAACCTTGTACTCCCTGAAACTCGATTTCCGCATTCTCTTCTCGATTTGCTTCTACTCCGCACCAGAACCTCCATAATTTCTTTCGGGCTAGATACCTGAAAATGATATTGAAGTGTGCTTTTGACCCTCTATGACGTATCAGCCTAGGGAATGTCTCAAAGTCACAAAATGCTGTTCATTGAACTGTGTTCATGGTCCCAAGTTTTTTGCAGGAATTGACAACGGTGATCAACTACTTGGAATCTAGTAATGAAGTTACCCGTCCAATGATAGCCACCACTATCTCGACAATCTCACAGGAAAAAAAGGTATAGACAACTGCTTGCATTTCGATTTTACCCCTATCAACTGTAGGACATCGTTTGTAGGAGTTTACATCGCTTCTGGAAGAGCTTCTGGAAGATCCACTGATGAGTTCTTCAAAACAGCCGACCATTCCGAAAGCAGCCGCTACGGACACTACGGAGACGCAACAACAGTCCTACAGCAAGAAGATGTCAAAGTCATCGAGTACGAGTACTTCCACCACCACCACGTCAGCACCAACGAAAACCTCAAGTACTGTCTTGGAGAGGCCAACAAATCGACCCTCTATTACGGCTACCAATTCCGCTCAGTCGACCGACTCCACAGATCTCGTTGATGACGATGATGGCGACTATGGCGATTACGAAGCAGACATCGCGGCTGGGAACCTCCCTGAAGAAGCAGCCATTGACGAGGGTGACGGTAAGTCTCAGAACGCTATATGTGTTCGTGAGGTGTATAGTTTCAGCCCTCCTCGTGATGAGGTCTCTCGTTCATAGGTCCCTGGGGATTTCTAGATAGTTTTCTTTGTTCCTTCTATCTAATGTTGATATCGTGAGCCAACAGGGTCCGCTGCTGTTTTGAGCGGTCACTCTCTTCCCGTAACGGCTTCGAAGATTCTTGAAGTGGTTTGCTTCGGGCTTCGAAGTCTACTACCCATAAATCAAGGACCGTTTGGCCTTCTCCGCTTTGTCCATTCCTTTTAGTATATTTGGAGTTTGCCTGAACATTAACGTCCTAATCTCTGACCCCACCTAGGCCCATTTAATTCGACACCCATCTCATTTCGGCAAAGTGGATATGTTTTCTATAGACTTTCTCGTTGTCTTGCTGCAGCAACTTCGACAACAACAGAGATGTCCAAGCGCCAGTGTGGTGAGCATAAGGAGATTGATATTTTTCAACTCAACTGAAAGGGTAGCTGGGGTGTAGGAAAGGATCATGGGCAACGTTCTTTCCTGTAATTGAGCACTCAAGCGCTCAACTAATATAAGCCTTAGGACGGAAGGAACAACTGGGTGGGTGAGTCATTTGGATGTTCAACATTCTTACCTGCCTACAGCTTTGTGCACCAGGGTAATCATCTCAATCACCCTGGTGCTCCTCCCGTGGTAGGACTCAAGTTGAAACTCCAATCCTTTGCTGATTGTGAGAACCGTCCGTGCGCGTGAGTGAAGTCAGCTATTCGTCTTCTCCAACTGCATTTTCAACATTTTCATCGAGCTTCCTTCCATATAGCTGACTTTTGACAATTCCAAAGTCCAGGGTGTTCCCTTTCATTTCACTTGTAGGTTCAGAAGCCCAAGCCCATGCTCAGAGTCTTCAGTACTGAATGGCACGTTTTATACCTTATAGGACCATCTTTCCACAACTGTGGTCACCATGAAAATCGTGGTTGGCAGGCATCCAAATCAGACCCAAATAGCACACTCAGGTCTTCAATAAAAACCTCATCTTCGAAATGAAGAAAGTAAGTTATAGAGATATCCGAGGCATCATCGACAGCGAGAAATCGAGTGTTCTCCGAAGACAGCTGGGAATTTACGCCACCAAATTTCCGTTACTCATCAATGAGGTTTGAGTGGGTTATGTGAAGTTCATTTCACATTTTTGTTTATTTTCAATAATTCTCAGCTAAACCGTTCAGAAACGGTGGAGTCACACCGTTGAGCATCGACACTTCCACCCTGTTCGGTATGGACGACGATGATGACGAAGATGCTGGAGATGGTAATGAGGGAAAACTACCGACTGAAGTGCCATCAGCAGCAGATGCAAGAAAATTGAAAGGAATCACTAGAAATTCAGCCACAAAATTGGTTGCGGGTAAAATGGCTAGTAAACCACCAATTGAGAGAATCAGAATCACAAAAAAGAAGCCAACAACATCGGTCAAAGGGACTACCCGAAAAGTGGTAACCACTGTAAGCAAGGAAAAAGGCTATTCTTCGATCAACTACAACGATTTACCGTTTACCAGAAGCCAGTTTACAACAACGCCATCCCCAAGCACACCACCGGAAAAGAATCTTCTAGTTGCGGGTGAAGAGAATGATGCCTGGGAAATAGGGCACGATACAGTAAGTGAGCTACCATCATTGAATTTACCCACCGAATCGAGCCTAAACCAGCCCTCTTCCATGAGCGCTGAAACAATCTCTACAGACCCTGATGCTCTCCCAGAGGAGGTGACCCGCCGTCCCTCAGAGGAAGAAGCACAGGCAGAGAAACCTGTTGACAGCAGGCAATCTTACAAGGAAGTAGAGAAGCATAAAGTATTGCCAGTCGATTCTAGGCAGCTTGAACATAATCAGGAATCACAGCCATCAAGTTCGAGGAGGACCAGTCAGACAACTACTAAACCTAGGAGACCGAAGATTGGAATTGAAAAGTAGGTTCTCTATTAACTAAGAAGTTTTGTCAGAAATAGCGCCTACAGATACAAAATATCATGCCTCTTTTCTAGACTTGAGTAACAGGGGACCCACTATACCTTCCGTAATTAACTAGAAGTAAAAAAAAATAGTATTTTGGAAAATTTCGAGGGGCGGGAAGTATCGATGCCCAGCCTCTACTACACTAGATGTGGGGTACCATCAGGGGAACGTCCGTTCCGCGCGTCCGTCGAACTAGATCACCCCGCCCACTTCGCAGCCCACTGCGGTCTTGAGATGACATTACAGTACCACCAAGTGCGACTGGAGCGAATGATTTGCATTTAGCCTGTTATCTTCTCATTGGCTGACTGCCGCGGACCAAGCACAAACCGAATGGCCAACTGACGAATGCGACATCTGTCAAGTATCGCGGGCTGACCCGCCGCATACGACGGCAGCGGTGTTACCTAGTTTCGACGGAAGCGCGCAACGAAGCGCAACCAGGGGTTCCATTGGGGAACGTCCGTTCCGCGCGTCCGTCGAAATTAGGTCGCGCCGCAACCGTCGAAGCGCACACGGTACCAACACATTTGTGACTTCTATTCAAAGTCTAACTGAATCAGAGGGAATCTTGGCAAGCCAGAAATGGAAATACCAATAAAGTAACAGTTCATTGACAGCCTTTTTCAGGTTACGTTCCCCTTCAAATCATCATTCCACCTCACCCGTTCCATTCCTCGAAGGAAGTGTTGTCGTTAAGAAGATTTACAGTCGAAACGATGTTTATCAGAATCTAGACTATGGTACGTTCCGATTTTTTTTGGTTAAGCTATCAATTCATTACCAATTCTTGTACCTCGAGAGAAGTGATAGTAATTGGTACGACTTTCCCATTCCGCGATTGAATGATTTCGGAAATTTCTACTCGACAGTTAGCAACGGCCCTGAGGCTTAGATCACTTGAGATAGACGACCACAAATCAGACTTTTTTTTTCCTGCTGCCAAGATGTTAAATAAGTTCTTATCAACTTACGTTTCGGCGTAATCGCCTTCTTCAGAGCCTGGAAACCTGTGTATTATCATTATCCATCCTTCATTCAACAAATAAACTTCAGAAAACCGGTTCCCTAGACTAAATGTCTCCAAACTGGCATGATAACCCTAAACATGTTTAACCCACCTTTAAGAACAGCCGGTCATTTGGTCGACCGCCGCTAAACTGACCCATAGGCACTTGGGGTAGCTTTGGATGATATGCCCTATCCCTCTCGCCGTGATACTGGGGGCAAACAAAACCCACAGAGGTCAGAGAAAGGCGCGAGTTCATTAGCTACGGCCAGGCACTCCTCTTTCCTATTCATTTTTGGGGACTTGGCGCTGATGAAAAATGCCTCAAGTGTCTTTCGCGCCGAAGTGAGGGGTTCCCGCAATAGGATCCTAACTGTAATTCCAAACACCGCACCTTTATGGGACTCTACTCGGTGAGCACCCA